CTGAAGCAAAAACTCATTCCCTACCCTGAGCAGTACATGTACTAGTATTTCCTGGTACTTTGCCAGTCTCTTATTTTGAAGGGCACTAGTAGCTTTACTTGGAGAGTTGCAGGTAAAACCTCTTCCTGTTGGCCCTTAAACTAAATACCGCAGAGATTTTCATCCACTTTCCTTCAACTTAAACATCCTGATCAGGACAAAATGGCTCAGGTTTTGCTGAATTTATAGGAGCGGCCATGATGGAAGAACCAAACGACATATAAATATCCATTTTAACGTTGTGCACAGTAACTAACAGCAGACTGGATTCCTATGCTTTCACTCTTTGCACGTCAGAGATCAGCCGGGGACCCCCCCGCCTGTTCATTTAAGGGCTTCTGTAACGAGCAGCTACCTCACAAGAAAATAAAGAAATCACTACAGTTGTTTCATTTTCCACCGCCGCTTCAAGGGCCGTCGGTCTTTTGAACTTTTTTTTTTCCAGACAAACAACAAGCTGCGATGCTCCGTCTTGTTGCGGCGCTGTTTTTCCTGTCAGCCGTTGTCGTGGAAACGGAGGCAGATGTTTCATCTAACGTCCGCTCAAAGTTTACGTCAAGAAGCCTCCGAGCTTAGAAGCTCATTGGCGTTTCTTTCGTTTTTATTATCCCAGATTGAAAAATAAAACAAGTTGTTTTTTTTTTTTTTTTAAAGGCGGAAGATGAAAGGAAAATGTGCATGTACACAAAGAAGGTGCAGAAAGAACAGAACGCAGTGAATTAAAGCACAAAGTCTTGTCGTTTTGGTTATAAAGTGGAAAAATCAGAATTAAGTCTGATTTAAACAAACATCGGAGCACGCAGGACAAAACGAAGCTCTGCTCAAGTTTTTACAAATCCTGTAAAATACGTTTTAAAAGAGTGGAAATGTTCCTTTAACAGCCCCCAGCTGTTGTCCTGACAGTCCGTGGGCTTTTTCCAACTCTGAGCCTCCTCACATCTGAAACAGGAAGTGGGCCGATATCCCCTCTGGGACCTCACTTCCTCTGAGCCCCACC